CACAGCGGCCTCGAGCCGCCGGACATTGAATGTCTGTCCCTATCGCCAGGCATCAGACACGGTGCAGCGAGTGCAATGCAATGCAATACTACTACTACTACTACTACTACTACTACTGCTGCTACGACGAGTCCTGCTCCTCTTGCTGCTGCGGCTGCTCCTGTAATTACTAATCCGGAATCATCATCGTCATCATCAGCAACATCTTCAGCGTCATCATGGCTGAAAAAACGGCCTCATTCCATAATGCAACAGTGAGCCTTGCATTACTCCGTGAAGGATCTTGGAACGAGCCTATGCCGACTCCGCCACGCAAGTGCAGTTTCAGGACTCAGATTCGTGGGCAAAACACCAAAAACACTTCTTGTTGCTAGAGTAGCTATTCCGCTGCTCCAGGTTGAAGTCCAGAGCTAGCAACTGGCGGTCCTGGCGCATGTTACACCAGTCATAAGCACCCTCGGCTGCAAAACACGTCTCTTTCGCACTCGCTGGAGAGATAGAGCTGACCTGGCGCAGCAACGACAAGAAGACGACAGGATGGCCTACCATCGGAACATGTCAACAGTTTTCAACAGTACTGCAGACCAGAGCAGAGAGCAAACGTGCCCGAACAGTCCCAAAACATCTCGAACGGAGACGGTGCGCGGTGTCAGCATGCCAGGGGGCAACACACGAACACCAGCGGACAGTGCAATTGGTGAACGCATGCCACAGTTCAAGCACAATCGTGCATGAACACGGCGTGCATGCACATGCTGCGCACCGAGTGTGCTGCAAGATGCTGACACTCGCACAGTATGAACCACTCCTGCGCTGAAACTGCAGCCGCGACCGCCTATTCACTCCAGGACCCCGGCCATGCGCAAGAGCCCGGAGGCAAAAACCTGGAGAACAACAGGAAGCAGCTGTAGAGCAGCACTGGTAGCAGTGGCAACAGGAGTCGTATAATTAGGAGTTGGCATATGAACAGGTATAGTGGCAGTACTAGAAGTCGTGGTAGGAGTCGCAGTAGGAGTCGGAGTGGCAGCGTGAGGGTAGTGGGAGTGGGAGTAGGAGTGGCAGTCGTCGCAGTCGCGGTAGTACTGATATGTAGTTGGTACTGGTGGTAGTCGTAGCAGTGGTGGTACAAGTAGGAGCAATACCTATCGTTGATGAGGGGAGGAGCAGAGCAGGACCCGGGTCTTGGAGAGGGCGGCTGTTGGCAACAGAAAGCTTTTCCAACTACTGCAGTACCTAGCGGCCGTCATCCGGGAAGCGAGAGCAAATAACACTGGAACTAAAGAAGCCGACTTCTCTGAGGTGCAAGCCATGGCTAGCGCCACAGAGGCGTAAAGCGGCAAGCCGAGATCGGCGGCACCCTGGAGATGTTCGGGAACTTCGGTGGGCTTTCAGGTCAGTGATGTCCATGTTTCGCCAGCCCAGTGGGCTCTAATCGCACTCTCACATGTCTGACAAGATTCTCAGGATATGCGTTCCTACATTGCCTACATCAACATGAGACCAGGCCACGATCAGATGCATGCCCTTTCCGAGACTCTGTCGCCCCTGCACCCCCCTTCCCAAACAACCGTCCTGAAAGCAGGCATCCAAAGACGACTGTCGTGGTGAAGCAGGGGTCATCGTGTATGAATCTCGAGGCCTGGCTGGACATCCATGGTTTCCGAAGGGGTTTAAGCTTGAAGGGCGGCAGAGTTAGGACAGTTAGGAACAGAGTCAAGGCAGTTTCTGTTTTCGGGGATGTTCCACCCGTTTGCATCTGGAAGACCCTCTCAGGCGTAAGCTTTGCTACGAGTCCTCACAAGTAAAAGTCACAGGATTCAGGCATGGCACATGAGATTCTCTCAAGAGCTTCCAACCACCATGCACCCAAACAAGAAGCAGAAAGCCATCAAAAGCCATCAAATTTAGCCGCTCCCCAGTCCGAAGTTAGCGTGGCACAGTAAGAGTTCGTGAAATTGGTTTCCAGGTTCTGGCTTTGAGGGCGAAGCACTACATTCTGACAGCCTGAACAGTGAAGGCTGTGCTGCCACCATCCCAGGGGATGCGACGAAAGCTTCTTAGACTCTCAGTTTAGGATGCTGAGGCTTTCCGGGTTCCGAGTTCAGGTCGCAGGCATCCCTGAAAGGAACTGAGATTCTTCCTTTTAATTAGTTGCGGCCCAGCGGCACTCAATCCCTGCTGTGCATAGAGTGCTTTCGATGCGGTCTCGGCGCGGGGATGTTGTTGGGATGCTGCTGAGGTAGAGTCGTTCAGGCTGACTGCGGATTCCGACTGCAAAAAATCATATCGCACCGTTCCGTTTGTCGCTTCGGGGAACTTAGCCAAGACTGCTATCATCTGCTGTCACAAAGCGCAACGTCACACATTTCTATGGAGGGCAGGTGGCAAGCGAGGTCGCGCACGCCGAGGGCGAGGGCGTTTCTTCTATGAGATCCCTGCACGCAGGCACAAAGCCAAGCCGCCGTCTTCACATGTCTTGACTTGTCCTGGTACCCAGGCCTGGCTGGAAAGCCTTTCTTTTTCAAACCCGTGAAGGGAGCCGCTTCTGGAGCAGGGGCAGCGAGGCGTACAGCCTCCCTCTGCCTGCCGCAAAGTCTTACACTGACGGAAAGGCAATGAGCAAGCAGTGCAGCTTTGTCTCCTCTCACCTTCAGAAAGCAATGGCTGCTTTCTCTCGACCTTGAGAACCATTTCAGTCACCCGCAAACCCAGGCCCTGGCACCTGGCTCGAGTGCAGCACCTTCTGTCAGGTAATGGAGGCTAACTCTGAGCCTTCTGTTGGCAGCGGAGTGCTGAATGAAATGCCCGATACTCCAGAGAATTGCTCGCGGAGGAAATCGTGCACGAAAAGCAAGAGCTGCCCAGCATTGCCTTTGACCTACCTCCTCTGCGGACCCTTGCCCCCCAGATTGCACATGTTCTGTAGCAGATCGAAGCAGACATTGTTTTTGACTGCCTTGTCGGGCTTTGTTCTCAACAGCTGCATAAGTTCATGTGAGTAACTGCCTCGCTGGTGAAACGATCTAGACAGAGAATTCATGTGGCGCTGGCAGGCTGTATTCAGACATCAGCTCGCAAGGTGAGTGTGCTCGGGTGAGCCTGATAGGGCCTCACCCCATGGGCCGCGCACCCAGGCATTGTGCCCGAGCTGCAGCAGAGGACATCAGAGGTCCTCCAAGTTCTCGTATTCTTCGAGAGCTCGAGCCTCGACATCATGCAGCACGGCTCGTAAGCTGTCAAGATCCAAACTCCCCGAATCTTCCTCGTGAAAACGACAGCAGTGAAGTGCGAAAGATCTGAAGCCGTTTAAGGTACAACAGCTTTGAAGGCGAGGCGATCGCCCACCGAGGCTGCCACCACCACAGCAGCATCGAGCTCGATGCAGCCCTCCGAGCAGGGAAAAGGTGGGAAGACCGTGGGAGAAGGGCACGGCTGCGTCGCAGAGCTGAGAGCCTCCGAGGTGCCAGGAGCTGAAATTCTGTTGCGGAAGTGGCGACCTTGAACGGAGGAACCAACCGCAAAGGCAAACGGAACACTGTGCTGCTTATGGGAGGACCTCTCTCTGGGATGCGCTCAAGTCCGAAGACTTGAGACAGTCGCCAGGGCCGCGGCAGTGGAACGCGCACTGTTGCAGGATGTGCATTGCACTTCCGTTTTCTCGGCGGCAGCTTATTATAATTGGGGCTTAGCTCACTTCGGCATCCTGTTCATGCTAATAGTGGGATTGTGTGCATCTTCAGGAACGGCGAGTATTAGCTTCGACGATTCTTGCACCGCAGGACTTAGGGACTGCGCATGCGGGACGACACAGATAAACCACGGAACCGTCGCCAACCCGCAGGATCCCGCAAGTCCGTCTCCCCACCTTCGTCGATTTCGTGACGGGTGCGCTGGCTGACCAGCCTACAGGAGAAGCATTCGTGGCTCTGCTAGTTCCAGCGACAACACGGCCCTGATAACAAGTCCGGGCTCTGTTGCCCTGCCTCCGTGCCAGCACATCCACCGCAGTTTCGATGGCACGCACGTCACGGAGGTTTGGTGCCCGGCGTAGTTTCCGGGGCCTCAGTGCAGACGGGGAATCTTCGATGGAACAAAGCTGCTCGTCAGTTCAAGTTAGAGCACACCTTCGATGGCTCACGGGTTTCGGGCTTTACCTTCGAGGCAACGCCTCAAGCCCCAAGGCAGGAGCTCTTCTTCCTCGTCTTCGTCGGTGTCGACGGTCTGGGACCTCTTCCTTTTCAGAGAGGTGCCACCATCATTGTCCTCGCGGCGTGAGAGTTGAAAGGTTGCCTAGCTAATTTCTTATGGCCCTTGCTGTTTTCGCACGGCTGAGGATCCTCGTCCCATGTTGCATGCAACACCGGATGTTGCCCCATGATTTTGACAGGCATGCAGGAGGCACCGATAGTTCGCATTGCACGGCAGCGATCATCAAATCGAAGAAGGCATGGCGTGACGAATGCGCCCGAGGAAGTCCACAAGACCTTCCTGACCTTCCTTTAGAAGCCGGAGGATAAAGAGCTGCACGAGCCTGAGCCATCTGCACAGTGGCAGCGCCTCGGCAGCCTTGGTGTTTTCGCTTTGGATGCTTGCCAGAATCTTCCTCAGAGTCTCCCTCCGAGAACATGGCGTTTTCTGTCACAACATGGTGCAAAAGGCATCTGGTCTCTCTGTGGGTCGGGCTGCGTGCAGGTGAAACTGGCTCCAACCTGGCCAAGGCGCAGCGTCTCTTCATGTCTCTCCCCTTTTTCAGCATCTCTAGATGCTTCTAGCATTCTGAGAGTTCGAGCCGGGCCCCTCTGCTCTGGGCGCCCACACGTTGGGGCGCCGGATCCCGGCGCCGTGGTACTCGCCGTCGGCTCGCTGAAGCCTGGAGCAGACTCACGGCCTGGCGAGTGCTGTCACACGGCACCGACCCTTTCAGGACGCTGCGCTTCAGCAGCTCTCGACGGCTCTCCTTGACAGCCTGCAAAGGGGCTGAGACCAGTGTGCTCTATGCTGACCAGGCAAGCTCGGGGGAAATTACACATTGACATCAGAATTAGCTAGACCCCGCCGTAGACGCTTGGTTCCAAGAGCAAATACACACACGCACAAGACCTGTCAAAAGCGATCAGTCCATCGCCACGGAACAAGCAGCACTCGTCAGCAGATGCCAGAAACAAACACATGCAGGCACGCCCGGACGCACACACACACACACACTCATACATGTGCACAGACTACTGCTTACACATTCATACAGATACGGACACACACACACACGCATACACACACACACACACATGCACACCACATGCACATACTCGTGCAATCATGCTCGCACGCACACGCACGCACTGGAGACTAGACAAACAGCTTGTCAAGATTTGACAAGACGACTAGCGTGTAAAGGCTTGCCCCAGAGCGGGCACAAGTCTACACATGGAAAACAGGCGATACGAGATAGCTCCGGGACGAAGCACCAAGAGTCTTCAAGAAAACCGTCCGCCCGCTTCTGCAGCATACACCTGCATACTCAAGGAACAGCTTCCCTTAAAGCTCCCTGCTGCCTGCTTCAGCTGAATGCCCTCCTTTGGGAGGGGAGGTAACCTGTAGTCATTCCTGGGAGCAGCAAGCACGCGACACCAGACCAGGCATCACGATGCAAGTGCAAGACTCGAAACTGATCACTCAAAAATTCACCGCTAGTACCACACATGGACAGGCTCCTGCCAATTCACTTTTCCATCTGGTGAGCGCAGCAAGAATCATGCAGTCTGCCAATCTCAGCCGACTCAACTTGGCCAAAGCAACTCGGGCAAACCCCCTCCCTCACAAGGCTGGGCCGCGTGCAAGAGAAGAAAGGTTTCCTTGGCTTCGATGCGTAGCCGAGACAAAGTAACGTTAGCGTTGCAGGGGCTGTCGCCAGAGCTTGTCCTAGATAAGCCGGCGAGGCACTGCGACCATCATCGCCATTCGGGCGAGGTAGCCCTCCGTGCCGAGGCCACCCAGGCCTCCGTTGGGTCATTGTCAAGCTGTCGCAACGCAGCTTTCGAGGCTCGCACGTTGGGCACCTGAGCCCGGAACCCTTCTTCTTCAAGGCAAAGTCTAATTCTGATCCAGCCTGGTGTCAGGGCTGAAAGGAAACAAGGCTTAGGAGCGCTTACATGCGCTACAAACCGCTGCCTCCCGCCTTGCCCTGTGCTGCACACGTTGCTTATCGCTACCATGCCATGCAACTGGGTTGGGGTGCCAGGCCTTCCAGTGCGGCGCGGGTCCGTGCCTTAAAACTGCTGAAGATTGTCGGCAAATGCAAACAAGGGGGGGGGGGGGGGCATGGCTGCGGCAATTAAACCACAGTTCACACCGGAGGATGTAGCAACGCAGGGATCCAATGTCACCACCGCGGAGATCCGCGGGGAACTGTGCTAAAGGGCCTTGCACGTTTGCAGACAGAGCTGGGCGCCCGCACTCCCGGAAGCGCAGCCGCAACACGCCTGAACGCAGGTCAGACTAGGAGCACCCACACTTGCCTTCGGAGTGTCCTTGGTGCATGCATTTCAGCCTCAGGACCTGGAGTTTGCTTTGTGCTGGCAATGCCGTTGAGAAGCTTTCCGCCAGAAACGGGCACTGGAACTAAGGTGTGTCGATGCTCGACTCCGAGAGCGATGCTTGAGAGAGCCCGGCGTGGCTGGGCTTGAAGGCTTACTGTCCAGAACAATCGACGAAAGCCCTTTGCGACGCCTTTCAAATCCTTTCAACCTCCAGCCCGTGCAAACATGAGCCTCGGCCCGGTAGCGCCGGAGAGCACCGCAGGGCCCACCATAACGCGGCCTCCAGATCCATCGCTGGGAATCAAGCGGAGGTAGGAAAACCCGTCATTGCCACGCTTTGTCAAAAGCTGCCGAGCCACAACTCCTTGGCCGCTTGGGTCTGTCCCGCTGCGCCTCCAGACAACGCGGCTTGCTGCATATGTGAGCGAAGCTAAGTGTCGCAACAACCCCAGTTGAGCGCCGATTCGTTCGCAGAGGGCGCAGCCAACTGGCAAGCCCAGGAGGCACTGGCAAGTCTCCAGGAGGGTCCTGCCGCACAGCTCACCGGACAGTGTGGCTGCTGTAGCACACCCCAACAATAAGATACAATAAGGTAATCTTCGCAGCCCACATCCCTGGACCCGGAGGGGCCTGTCCGTGAAAATATGGACCATCTGTCGGCTTGGGCCGAGAGCGTTTGCCGTTTGCAGTCCGAGTCCTGGAGCGCCATCCACTTGATGTCAAACACGGCAGGGAAATGCCTGCAACAAAGAAGAGCTCATGGAAGCCATTCCTACCTCTGCTCTCTTCCTTGCCTCAACCATGCATCTGAGAAGATTCCAAGATCTGTCGGCCTGCCGTGCATGTTCGCATTGAACTGCAGCAATCAGAAAGGTGGTCTGCAAAGGCGTCGTTCCAACTGCGCCCTCTTTCGATGCAGGGGAGTCAGCTGCACACGAACAAGATGACAGGATGTCTGAAGGTTCTTCTGATCATATGGCAGAAGGAGAGGGGGAGATTATCATGACAGCACTATCGCCCTGCAGAGTCTCGTTCCGCTCAATTCCGCGAACGACACCAAGCCGCAAGGGCCAGGATGTCGAAAGCAGTCGAACCCGACAAAAGAGCACCAAAAGCCAAGGCTGCGACACATCGGCGATGAATTTGTCCTGACATGAAGCTTGCTGCGAGCATGCGCACACCCGAAGCCGCGAAAGCGAGCCGGGGTAGCATAGAGCTGCAGAAGGTCCGGCAACCTCGGTTCACGAGTCAGATTGCCAGCACGCCTCTCCGCAGAATGGCAGCCATGGACGCGTTCTTGGCATCAGGCCCATCGTAAACGACTATCGGGACCCGAACCTCTCGCAAGGCCTCAGTGCGCGCAGCCGAGGCGTAGCAGGTGAGCTCTTCTTGCCATGTCGTTTGTTTTCAACACTTTTTGCTGAGGGCCAAGCCTTCAGGATGGCTACGATCGTGGAGGACATGTACTCCTCCTGATAAAGGGAAGGTGTCTCGGCCCTGAGCCCTAAGCTTTCTCCTGGCTGGACCACAGCTGTGACATGACTCTGATGCTTCGAGCTGCCAAGAGTGATTGCGGCTTCGCCAGAAGCAGGAATTTCTGGAAAGTTCGAGGAGACGAAGAGGAATGCTTAAGCTGCTAATCAGGCCCCTGGGGGCTGCACCCAACGCCCATCGGCGCGTTCTTTCGCAGAGGCCTGGTCTAAGCTCGAACTTCCCAGGAATTGTGGCTGTAGCCCCCACAAGTACGATGGTGCTTTCGACTATGGCTTAATGCCCCCCAGGTGCCTTCTTGTGGATGTAGCTCCGCACATGCGCTGGCATGTGGAGCGGATTGCCTGGCCTGCGGGGGCTTTCAGTGTGCCGAGGTTTGGTGCAGCCGACTCAGGCCCAACACTAATCTTCATATCTCTAGACTCTAGATGAAAGGGGACATCATGAAGCCAATAAAGTAGACAGCCAGAGGCACCAGAGGCCCAGGTCGTAAGACGTCAGCTCGAAGCAGCCTGGGATATGGCAGCTTACTCGGCCTCCGCTAAGGTTCTGCCATGGCAGACCTCCTCCTACCGGCTAAGCCTATTCGGTCAAGGGAACGGCCGAAGAGGGGCAACCTCAAGTTCGAAGATGCTGCGAGGTTCAACATTTGAGCACAGGGCTTCTGCAGAGCTGGCGACATTTGGAGGGAAGCCCCCTGTTGGTTTGCAGAACAAGTAACGCTCTGAAGCTCCTGACGCCTCGAGATCCGGAGCTTCAGAACTTCAAAGGAAAATTCCTGAACCACCCCCTGGCATGCAATCGAGATTTGCAGGCAAGCAGCGATCTGCAGCATTCCACACTGCACAACACACGCCCAACCTCACACCAGTCGCCACGAAGTCAGCAGGAACTGTGATATGTAAAACACTCAACAGAGAAGACAGTTTGTCTTGCCGGCCGGAACCTATTGGCGACAGCCAGTTACTCAGTGACTAGAATCGCTGCACATCGCGAGGGCCTTTGAGGCAGCCTTTGTTCAGGGGCCCGCTGCAATCGCCGCACCTCAGCCGCAGTTCAGAAACAGCCCACTGCAAGAGTCGACATCGAGCGTTGCTGCTCGGCTAGTGTACCCCAGAGCTGGCCGCTGGCCTTGAGGTGTACACAATGGATGCATGTCAATGTGAAGCCCTGGCTGCACATCCAGACTGCCAGACGGCAACGTATGAAAGGTTGCCCACGATCTAGCTAGCCCACGACTTCGGAACATAAGGTCCCCGCACGAGTTCTAAAATGGTCCTCACAAGACAGTTTCCGTTTGCCGTGCACACTTGCAGACTCTCGCACCTTCTCCAGATTGCAGAACCAGGAATGCCTGTTGCAGCCCTGCCCGTGCTAAGTACTAACCGTCCTTCAAAGACATCGGCCCATGCGGCCGGACATTGAAGATGTCTGACAGGGTGCAAGCCAAGCTCGAAACGAGAAGCAGGAGTGTACTCTCAATGTAAGTCTTTTGGAAGAGGCCAGTGTTACCAACCTGATGACCTCAGCACCACAGCAGCACGACAGCTACAACTTCAAGCCCACATGCCTTCGGATGTATCTACACGCAGCGCGATGAAGTCTGCCTCGCCAAAAATTCGTCACAAGCATGTCGGAATTTCGAAGATCTGTGGGCGAGGTCCGAAAAAGCCACCGCTTCAACATCCTCTCATCCAGTCCGCTCCCGGCACCCTTGTTTCATCATCAGGCCCCGGCTTTGTGGATGTCCTCTAGGCAAAAGGAGGGGTCTGCACCCCAAAGTGTCCGATCTACCATTGCTGGTAGCCTACCTGGCACGCTCAAGAGTGTCTCTGGGTTTAATGCACTCCTAACACCTCACTGTAGACGGGGCATGCAGAGAGCGGAGGCACGACATGATTCAAAGGATAGGTGAGCAGCCGCGTGTTTAGTGACCCAGCGGGTAGGACGGGTAGGACTTAAGCAAACATTCGGCAGGTCGATGCCTGGACCGGCGCTGAAACGGCACCCGCCCTGATCCCAAGCGGCAGCGGAGAAGCAAGCTACATGCTGGTGCCATCGATAGTACAGGATGATGTAGGGAAGGCTGGCACAAAAGACAAGCTTCAAAAAAGAAGCCAAACCCGGCAGCAAATGTCGCCTGTTCCCCGTGGCTCTGCCTGCGCATCACTCAGAATGGTGAAAAATCGCACCACCGTGTACAAAATACACGGCCTGTGCTGGATCTGGTGAGAAAGCTGTCTGGTTACATCATTCCACCAGAAATGGAATACACCCCGCTCAGAAACTTCTGAGACCTGTTCGGAGCCGGGGCGAAATGCTCCCACAGCGAAGTATTGAACACCCCCAACGAAGAACTGGCCCAGAGTCGCTGCTTTGCTCCTTGTCACAGAACTTCCTTGTCACTCCGGCCGGTCCGGACAGCCGATCCAACATCAAGCCTTCGAGTCTGGAGGCGTCCAAGCCAGTGCCCAAACTTTCTGCAATACAGTGTGTAGCTCGCCGTCTTGCCAGGAATATCATTCCAGAGGCATGGATACTACCGTCAGGGCCTGCAGTCAGTGTAAATCATCGCGGATCACGCCGACGACCGCTTGAATCCGACTTCGCGGGCATCGTACTTCGGCAAGCTGTTGTTCTAATGACCAGTTTGTGTCTCAGGTCTTGTCACCAGCAGAATAGCTCTCCTCGAGACGGGACTCCATCACCTCAGGGTGTCTGAACCGAGGCTGCAAGAACCGTAACCGCACTGGGCCATGCTTATCCGCTCTCAAAGACTGATACAGCACAGAAATCAGCGACAGACATTCACCGAGGGCATTGCAGGGGGGTTTGCTGGGCAAGTGCACGCTCAAAAGCAAACGACTCGCTGGTCGCTGACCCAAAGGGCACCATTCCGTTCAATACCAAAAACCATCGTTTGCTGCTTCTGATTCTACTGTTTCGATGTGTGCGCTCCCTCCATCATGTTACTACTTCGGTTCACTGCTGCTGCCACTGTCGTTGCTACATGCTGCTACGGTTGCTACACTACCCGCAGCTCCCGATACTGCGACTGCTGCTGGCCCTGCTGTCAGCCCCACCTCACTTTGCGCCCAGAGCTCCTGCAGTGCCTGCTCCTTGCGGCGCAGCTCCGAGCGAAGGGCCTCTGTGAAGTCGCTGGAAAGCTGCAACAGAAAATAATAGGGTTCAGGATTTTGGATGATCTTAAGTCTTTGGTGAGAGCATCTTGGAGGTTGGGTCTCTGGGTTGCAGCAGGTGGAGCTTCAGTTTTTGCTACGGCATGGCGCCACAAGATTCTCCAGCGGAAGAAGGCATCTGTCAGGGTCAAGTGATGAAGCACCTTGGATTCCTGACAGCGCCTTGGTGCGGGCCAGGTCCGCAGCACAGCGCCGGGCATCGGCGGCCTCCGCATCTCGCTGGGCCTCACGAAGTGGGATGCAGGATGCTCTGACACCCACACTTCGCAAAAAAACACCACACACCCTCACAGTCCCCTCAAGACGGAAGCAAAATGCGGTCGTTGGATGATTTCCCTCAGAGAGTCGCCTCGCGGCGCCGCTTCGCCTCGGTGGCCTCGGTCCTCAGGACCTTTTCTGGTAAGGCTTTCTGCTCTGGCTTAGGCTCAGGGATTTGGGAGTTTGGGGATGTTGCGGGTTTAGATGGGTTTAGGGGGGTCTTCAACAGCCATATGCCATTGGGGGACGTTTGGGGACTTTAGACCAAAAGCTTTGCTGATTGGCCTTAAGGTTTAGAGTGTAGTAGGGTGCAGAGCTTCACAGATCTACTCGCCGTCGAGGGCTCATGCACAGCTTATTGGGTTTCGCGGAGTCTGGGTCGGGGTGGAGGGTTGGTACACGACTTTAGTTAGTTTTTGCATTGGGCTGCAGTGGTTCTGGTCAGCACAGCCCCACAGTGGGTGTCGTTTCAGTTCTGGGCGCTATACGGGGTCTCGCAGGTCATGATGTGTGTGAAGCTTCTGAATATCGCTTCATGGCCTTTCAAACAGCGCAAGGGCTTCAAATGGTTTCCTGCACGTGCTGGTCTCATTGCAGTCCGTTCACTTCGCTGTTCCTGAGGGGTCCAAACTGAGAGGAAGCTCTTCGTTTCCCTCCTGGCCCTGGCCTTCAGCTGCACATCTTTGCTGGCGATGCTCTGGCGCACCTGAAGTCAAAGATCGGCGGAGACTCGCACAAACCCCCCGCCATGCCCGCCATCCGGGCCTTGGCGATGCCTTTGCTCAGCTCAGCCTGGCGCTCGACCTGGGCCTCCAGCTGCTCGGGGCCCCCCTGCGATGCTTCCCCACCTGGAGACTGGGCGATTGGGCGACTGGGCTGAGTTTGGGATTTGTTGCAAAGCTCCTGATGCAAGCTGGTGACAGTGGAGCTGCAGCGTTGCGATGTAGCCGCGCTTCCGCTCAGCGTCGTCCCTGCTCAACCGCCTGGGAGCGGTGCACCGCAGCATGGAGGTTGGCTTGGTGCCGACACAGCTTGTCAGGCTTGTCAGAACCATAGAAAAATAGAAACCACCAAGCCAGGAAAATCGAGTCTACAACTTCTGCCCCGCGATGCCAAAGCGCAGCTGCTGCTCCACTTCTTCCAATTCCTTGCGCAAGAGCTGCTCCTGGTTCAGGGGTAAACTCGTTTGCCATTTCATTGTCATTGCACAACCCAGGCAGTACTTCGAGACCACGAGCAGTGCAAGGAAACTGTGTCCTAGTCCTAGTGGTACATCGATAAGCATGGACATTGGACATACACATGGACTTGTGACGAGCAAACAGTGAGGCAACAGCTCAACCCTTCCTCACGCTCGCCAACGGCCACTTCCTGCTTCAAGACCTGCAGCTTGAGGTGGCTACCCTATGGCTGAGAGAGTTTTCCGTTCAGACCCAGCGTGGGCAAAAGCATTGTCCGACCTGCAGCTCACCTGAGGCCAATTCTCGAGCAAGGGTTTCGGGCTTTCCCTGAAAAAAGCCCTCAGCCATTCCTCCATTCCCTCCCTGCGCGGAGCCTCTTTTTGTTCGCGGGCTCGGCGCAGCTGGGCATGGAGCCGCTGCAGCTCCCCGGCCGGGGCCTGGCTGCAACCCTGGGCTAAAACTGCAGCTTGCCTTGCTATCGGTGCTCTGAAAAGGCCGAGTTGCCACGGCACGTGGCTTCTGCGCGACGATCGGCTCCGTTGGCTCCGGCCCAGGCGCAGACGCATCAGCCGCTTGGCGCAAGGCCTCCATCTCTTCGAGCAACGTGGCCTCCTGGCTTCGGATGGCCGCCAGCTCCGTCAAAAGCACCTGCGATCGGTAATCTCAGCCGAGTGCCTGTGCGTGGACTCGCGCCTTCTCCTTCTGCCGTGGCCCCGAACCCGTTCCTCCGTTCCCGTTCCGCTGGGCAGCGGCACAGCGGGACTCGGCATCCTGCAACCTGAGAGACATCGAAGTGAGAAAGGGCACAGGGATTCGAGCTGGCTTTCAGCGGAAGCGATGGTTTTTAGGACTTGCTTTCTCGTCCAGATCCAAGTGCCCTCTCCTGGCTGCCTGGCGGCGATGCGTTGAGCTCGGCCACCTTTGCAGACAAGGCTGGTCCATTGAGAGGGTATCACGACCCCAGAGCCCTCATGTCAGAAGTGATCCGACGGCCTGAACCAACGAAACACCTGCAAACACCTGCAGCGCCAATGAGCTAGCAACCAACAAATCACATTTTACCAAGCAAAGCAAAACCAGAGCACTAAGAAGCAAAACATCATCACATGAACTCAAAAGGCGCTGCCCGTTACTGTGCCAGTTTGTTGGCAGGACACACACACACACACACACGTACGTTGAAGTGAGATTGGCCAACAGCACGACGAGAATCAAACGGCCTACAACGTTGCTAGCAGCTAGCAGTCAGGAAGAAAAATGGGGAGGGTTCGTGACACCATCATCAATCTAAACGTAATAAAGACCATGAAAGTACGGGGACCTGTCCATAAACAGTGCCAGCATGTTGGTGCGCAAACAAGTGTCCGCTTAGGGCTCGCATGGGTTTGGGGCATGGGCTAGCCATTGGCACAACCCAACCCAACCCAACCCTCCCTGGCCTTGCCAAATGATTGTTGATACAAGTGCTGCGGGCTTGTGAAGTCTGGTCGCCCGATGTGTTCATCCCTTCCTCCCTTCCTTCCTCCCTGTGCCGTTCGTCTTGTCCTTGACTCTTTAGGAAGCGATATTTTTTCTGGTCCTGAACTGAATTAAGACTCGCTTGCTTCGTCCGTATTTGATCGGACTACCACTACAGTATACTACAATTACAGGATACTCTAGACTCTAGTTTGTGTTGAAAGGCATCCCTGTAGCCTTATGGCGCTGGGCGTCACGTCGCAGCGCGGCCTCCACCTGGCATGGGACCACGACCACACCAGACATTGCAAGGGCTGTGTGAAGTGCGGATCAGATCGTAAGCTTGTCTTCTTAGATCCCGGTCCCTCTTACCAGGGCCTCCAGCTGAGAGGCCTCGGCTGCTGCACGTGCACGCCGGCTGCGGTGCTGCTGCTCCTGCAGCTCCTGGCTGACGTGCTGGGATGCGCTGCTTACGAGATGTTGAGCCGGATCTCTTAAGTTGCTTTGGGCAAAGGGCGGTGGACATGTTTGGTAAAAGCGAAAGCTAGGCCTCGTCCATGCTAAAGAACCTGCACAGTATGCCAGCGTCCGCAGCTAGCTAGCTCGTCACAACAAGGAGGTCGACGACATGCCTGCAGGACACTTGCTCATAAATGCGTCCTGCACCTGGTTCCGCCAAGCGTGGTGCTCATCGCGGTGCGCAATCTCCTGCCATTTCTCCTGGGCCTCGACAAGACAGAGGGCTCGGGGGTGTCCCGGGTTCAACTTCTAGGTTTGTCACAACTCGGGAGTTCGAAAGAAAACTCTTTGAGACCTTGCGACGCAGACAAGCCCGCTCTCCCAATATTTTCAAGGCGCCTGCACGGCTTCCAGGCGCAGCTCTGCAGCAGCCTCGTGCTCTGCAGCCTCGGCGCCAAGCTTCGCCGCGGCGGCCGCCTGCCAGACCGGCAGCGCCGACGGTTCACTGAGGCATCACGTGCCAGCTCGCAGCCTGGGAGGCATAAACCAGCGCCTCTGCCTTGTGCTGCTGCTCCTGGTCAGAATCGCAGAGTCGAGGCTTTGTTGACATGCCAGACTCCCGAAGCCGACGTTCCTCCGCGGCAACCTGCTCGAGCTGCCCGAAGATATCGGAGACCTGTCCCTCCACCTCAGCTGTGCGCACCCCACAAGTTAGGTCTCCTGAATCCTCTTCAAGGAGCCTGCACCACGCGGTTCTGGGTCGCCTGTACAGCCCTCTCGGGATAGGCGCCCACCTGCACAGGAAAGAATGCGGCCGAGCTTAGGACGCCCTTAAAATCCAAGGTGCTCGTTGAGTCTCCGTCTCCAGGGTTGCACGGCGGTGACGCAGCTCGTCGATGCGCTTCAGCGAAGGGGAAAAGCGCTTCCTGGGAGACCCGGACCCTGATGACTCCTGAAAAAGGGCTGAACAACCGGACCGGCGTGTCGGGGAGGATGGTCGCACTCTACAGCGTTAGGAAGTTGCGGCGGAGTTGTAAGAAGCTCAAGAAAAAGAACAAAACCCGACAAGGCCCAAGTCCGAAACCGAAGCTGCTGGCACTCACCAAGAAGCTGGAGCTCCCAGTGCGCGCCCTCGACACGGAGGGTCTCCCGGCGCAGCCGCTCCGACTCCAGTGCCTCAATCAAAGCTGCGGCAAGACAATTTAAGCAAAGCAGCAAAGGGCGAGCCTCTTCTTTCAGCTTCTCCTCGCAATTCTTCAAGCTCTCCTTCGCTCGCATCTCCTGACAGGCGAACATCGGACTCGTCCTTTCGGCATGTCCGAACCCGGACGGCACAGGGACCTCGTCGACGTGGGATGCCCAGTCCGTTGCAGCGAGCTCCTCGGCCCGAGCCTGCCGAGGCGGCAAAACGCTCGGCACCTCGGGAAGTCGCCCGCTGCCGGGCCGTGCCTCGTCTCGATTCCGCTGCCGCCGCCGTGCAGAGACCAAGGCGGCCTCCGCACGCGCGCTGGCCTCGCTCCCACTCGGCATCCCAAGACCAATGCCCCCCTGAGAACCCAAGCCTCCTCTGCAAGACGGACCTGGCAGCGCTCCGCCTCCGCCCTCGAAACCTCTGGAGACCCCGCTTCGGGCGTCCGATCCATGTGTGCATCTACGTCCTGCTGTCCTGCTCTTCGCTCTTGCCGTTTGCAGGTACAAGCGCGATTTCGCTAATCGTCTCTTAGGCAGCTGCTGTTTTGTTCTAGCAGCAGCACAGCGACAAAGCACAGCGAAGCGCCTCTTCGGAGGCCTTGGCAGCCGCCGAAGCGGCCAGGGCCCTCTGCTCCTCTCATCGAGGCTCGGCTCTCACAGCGAGCTCTCCGATGCGCCCTGTCCTCTGGCCTCTGCGAACTCTACAAGACTCTACAAACTCTACAACTTACACAATCTACGGCGATCACTCCTTGACAACCAAGAAACTACGGCTCCGCTGCCTCGAAGTGGCGTCGTCTGCGGTCGGCCTCCACGGCCGCCTCCTGGATCTGAAGCCGCTCCCGGCCTCGGCCCAAAAGGCTACGCGGGGGCGCTGCTTCGCTACGTCTCTCCGTGCTGCCACGCAGCGGCACAGCTCCTTGAGCCGTTCTGCTTCCGGTGTGGCCTCTCCAGCTCCCGTCTGGCATTACTCTAGACACTGATGCTGAAACCCACGCTGAGCATGCTGAGCTTCCCGAAACTTTCTGACACACCCTGACACCATCCTGAAACCTCCGCCCCCGCCTCGGCAAGAAGCGGCAGGGGCACTGTGCTCTCAGCAGCGGACTCCACTTTCAACATGGCCTGACACTGAAAGTCACTCTAGAGGGTGCAGTTCTTGCTGCACAGGTAGCGGCTACGAGCAAACTCAGGAAACACGACTGCAACGGAAGCGTGAACCACACCACTCTCATGGCAATGCTGGCTCTCATGAGGCTGCTGGCCTCCGCTGCTTGAATCGCCTTCTCCTGATCAGAGGACTGGCACGTGAAACTTGGGAAGTTGGTAGATGAACTGATATGAACTGGCTCGACGGTTCCTGCCTCGCTCAGGACCTCCGCCTGCAGCTCCTCCTCACAAAGGGCCTTTTCGACCACATCCTGTCGAGGCGATGCTCCAGTACGGACAAACCCCAACTCCAACTCCTCCAAGCCTGAAACTTTAGGCGACGACAGATGTGCGGTAGAGGGCAAGACCCCAGAGACAAAGCCCCCGCCGCAAAAAGACACCCAAGCCACAACCGCCTTTATGATGTTGGACGAAAAAACACCGAGGCGCTGAAAGTAACACATGGCCTGGTTTGTGGTCCTGGCTCTAGCAAGTGCCATGAGTTCCCTCTCCAAGGAAGGCCCTGTTTCTCAGGTGCCATGTGGAGCTTGAAGCTTTCCCTAGTTTTAGCTAAAACACCGAATTCCCTGTTCCACTCCAAAAACCTAGTCCATTCAATTTATTCTCTTTGGACTAGGAGAAAACACCGAGCTCCTGGCGGTGCATTAAGCCCGCACATGTCCACATATCCTTTATACTGTCGGATGTGATGAGTCTGTTGATTTTGTTGGTGCAGTTGCCGATTTTCTGTTTCAGTTGGCAGCGCGGCGTGGTCTACTCCGAAAATCATCCCAAACCCACGCAACCCTAACAAGCTCTCCCATTGCACCTGGCGCAGGCCGAGCACTGCTTCCGCTGCCGTCCTCAGGCAAACTTCACTCGATGAGGACCTTTTCAGGACTGCACACCCCAACAATCCAGGATTCTGGCTTGTACTGTAGCTGGAGCTCATGCTGCAGCTCCAACCTTCGTACAGATTCGCTTCGCGCCGACTCGACAATCTGTCCGGCCGATCCACAGGCTTGATCTAGCTCCCACCTGATTGAACCCGATCTGTGCGACGAAGCAACAGAGCTTCCATCCGTTTCGAAGTCTCGTCCCTGCCGGCGCACAGGAGCGTCGTTCAAGCTCGAAAACACTGGGTTACCCCCCCTCAGTCAGTGGGCTTAGCCACTTGGGAAGTCCAGAAGAATGCTGGTGCGCCGTTTTCGCCTCTGGCTCTGGCCATCAGCCGACGACTGCACGGCGATGGCCGAGAGCGACTGCCTGTACCGAGGACCGCCATGGCCACGGCTTTCATCTCTCATCTCTCCCGTGCCCAGTCCGTGCTGTGCGCAGGTGAGATCTCAGATTTCATGCCCGCCTTTGGGAGTGGACATCTTGCTGGAGCTTCTGGCAGAAGCCACCCAGCTCCTGAACAAGTGCCGGAGCAAACCAAAGCACCCAACGAAAAGCCCTGTATCCTGGCACTATCCCGGCCTTCACCTCCCTGAGGATGGATGTCATGGCATCATCGGAGCCTCTCAGATGACCGGGCGTTTAGGCCCCTTGGACTTGATGGGAGCTCAATTAAAAAAACACAACGGTCACAGATCGTGCAGAAATAATGAAGGAAGAAGCCAAAGCCGAAAACCCACAAACAGCGATAACATCACCTGCATGCTCAGAAGAACGCCTAGAAGGAATCCCAAAGCAGTTCTGCCTTGCCTGCGGTTGATTGCTCCCGGGCAGGCAGCATGCCAGAACACATCTCCATTACCTGATGGCAGCATTTGCGTTGGGAAGTTTGAGATCCCTGGCCGACACTGTGGCGCCTGGTGCATGACGTCCAGCATGCTGGTCAGGAGCTTGGGATCCTGCATCTCCGGAGCAAGCTCCTGCTTCTGCCTTGGTGACTTGGTGGCCAGAAGGAAAAATACGCTTCTTCCTTAAATTAGCTTCAATTTATTTACTCTTCTGATTATCGTAGTTCATGTTCGCAGCGTCATCACGTTTATCGACACGATAATAGTCGTGCTTGCGACGTTGACCATTACTAAATCATGCGCTCAGATACTAACACACCTTAATGTGTTATGTACTAAATTCGCATCGGCGATTTCTTAACCACTATGGCCAGGGTGCTGATGTTGCACCGATCTGCAACGAGCCGTGCCTTCACAATGCAAGGTAAGGCGTCATCACCATAGTTGTCGCAAAAAGAAGAAAGTAAGTGATTAAGAGGAAGAGAACACCTGCAGTCACTGCAGGTGACTTCCGGGGCTTAAACCCTAAACCACCATAGCCCCAACCCCGCCTGCAGCCTTTGCCAGCTCGGCTGCTGCCTCGGCCTCGGAATGCCGCGCGCTCGCGAGCTCGGCGTTGAAGGTCTGCACCTCGGAAGGGCAAGGTGCGTTGTGGCATTGGTTCAAGATCAGCGAAAGTCTCTGACATCTGCGAGGCTAGAAGACAGGAGCCGCGATTCGCTACCTATCTCACTGTGACAGTTGAATTCTCTGGCCTCCGCTTGAAGCCGCGAAGCTTCTCGCTGCCTCGCAGACTCGCAGGTGCAGCATACCCGTCTCTGGCAACGGCTGAATCCACCGAAAACCTCCTGTCCTGACCTCAATCGAGGAGTTCAGCATCACCAAGAGCATGGATCAATAACGGCTAAAGCTAAGGAAGCCATTCGATCGGAAAATATCGGCAAAGCTTTGAAGTGCCATCCACTGCAAAGCATTGGCCTCTGCTCGGCCTCCGCCAGCTTTACCCGCTTCGAAGCCCATGCTGCCTGCCCACAGTGCTGAAACCGACACCAGGATGCGAAATGATGTGCCTGGGCTGCTGGTATCTGCTGGTGCATTGAAGCTAGCCACTGCAGTGCAGCAGTGCCGCCCGAGTGACTGCCAGTCGGAAAAATCACTTGGCCTCGATCACCCGCGGCGGACTCACAGGCCCAAGACGGCCAGACGGGGCCTCTGAGAGAGGCAACGGCCACGTTCAAGCGTGCGGGGCTGTGCGCTTTAAGAGTTCTGCCAAAAAGCATAAGTTCATTTTCTTGCATTCTGGGTGTACACCACAGCCAAGCCTTCAGCAAGCTCTTCTTCCAATCTAAGATCTTGGAGTTCGGGCTTCCCGAGAAGGCTTCCATCCACAATACTCGGTCCTGCTGCGTCACGACCCTTGCAAGGGCAGCATTCGCCACTTCCAGGCTGTCCGCCCTGAGATGCCTTGGCTTCGCAGCGAGTAGTTGGAAGATGTTGGGAAGGGACGGCCAGCATGTTTCTCGATTCATTTCCGACAGTCATGGGTCATCTGGGTAGCTCTGCGGCGGGGCGGCGCACTTTTTAGGTTCTCAGCCAACTCCCAGGCCACCAGCTGCAGTCCCAGGAGGCACAGTACCTCCCGAAGCCAGGCTCTCTTATTCATAGGTTTGGGGAGAACCCCAAACAGGCCCGCTGCATTCGGGCCTGGGCAGCACGAAGAACATCCTTCAGGGTAGAGTCGGATAGAGCGAGAAATCGGCAGAGCGAGTGCAAAGGTGGCAGCGAGTCTTCAAGCATGCTCCGCTCGCAATCTTGCTCTGTCTCGGCAAGCGAGATAAAGGTCAGAGCAGAAGATCAAACTGCCCCCAGTCCTCAGCCTCACCATCTGATGCAGGGGCGCGCCCAGTCTCGCGGGCGAGCCGCCAGGCCTCTTCCTTGGGCTCTCCATTGAGGCGAGGTCCGCATCGCAACGCGAGCCCCGGCCCCGGTCACCTCAACCTCTCAAGCCTCAAACCCTCCAACCTACCAGTACTGCGCACACTTCAAAGAAGTGCACTCCAAGGGGCCACGGCCTCGTCACGCCAGGAGGGGTCTAAGGCCCTGGCACGAGCCTGCAGAGACTGCAGAAGCGTTTCGTGCGACGGTGTCCTATTTCCTCTTCCTCCCTTTCCGCTTAAAATGTTCAAGGGTGCCAAAGCTTGTTTTTCTCGCTTGTGCTAGCCCTTTCGACCAAGCACAAGTCACACAAGTGGCTGAACAGCAGCAGTCAGCAGCGGGATTAGAGCATAGCCTCCTTGCACCACAAGCACTCAACGTCACGCCATAGTGGCAGCCCTGACTGTTGGAAGGAGACCCCGCCCCCAGCCTCGTCTGCGGCCCTGGCCTCCTGCGCTCTGAGCGTCGCCACGGTGGCTAGGCGTCGGACCTTCAAGGATCCGTGAGGTCAGGTTCGCCGTTTCCAGGAAGTCAAATAAGTAAGGAGAGGCGATCTGCCCGTACTCAGCTCTGAGTCGTCCATGAAGATCGGCAGCAACTCTGACCGGCCGGTTTTTTGGATTTTTTCCAAAGCTTCCTGTGGATTGAGCACTAACATTAACGGCCGTCTTTGCAACATACTGTAGAGAGTCATAAACCGAACTGCCCGTCGCTCGCCAGGTTTGCCTTTTGGGCCAAACCCAACGCAGCCCAAAATTCTACGCCCTTGCCTGCCTCGAGCTGCTCACCTTGTCCACGCGTCTCTTCCAGCTCAGAAAACATCTCGCCGGCCGCTGCCTAACAGCTTCAATATTGAAACGAACCAGTGCTGAATCTGGTGCAGCTCGTTTAATCTTTAAGCATGTCGTCGCACTATCAGACATGCAAGAGAAGGCAGCATGCACATCGCGTGGGGCAACCTCCAAGCGGGATCGCTCGTGCGTTTCCAGGCAGCTGGCCTGGAAATCGTGGAGGTGCTGCTTGACAATACAACCATATACAATCTGTCGAAGCGTACCAGGAATACAGCGACTTGGGCCAATTTCACATGCTGCAAAGACTTTCACTCGTCGACCTTCATCTGTCAGGTTCATGACTTTGAAACTTGAACATCTTCGCCTCTGACCCCAGTCCGCTCTCTTTGACTTCGTAAAGAAGCAACCATATCTTCCACGTTTGTCAAACTGCCGTGCCTCGTCGTCGGCCCTTGCAGCGCAATGCAAGGCCTGGTGCTAGCTTGCGTGTGTTGTCTCTCTTTCTTTCTATCGGTCTATACAAAAATATCGAAGTATCCAACTCTCCAACTATCTATCGACCTATCTAGCAATCTAACCATCTATGTAACTGTCTATCTATACATATGGACGGCTGATGGATGATGGATGGATGGCTGGATGGATGATGCATTTTGTATGCGTGTGTGTGTGTATGTGTATGTATATATATATATTTTTTTTTCTATATATATATATGTGCATAAGCATCATGCACGTTATGTATATGCGTTTATGTATGTATTCATATTGTGTACGTGCTGTATGGCATCTAAACTTATGTGTATATAGATATGTGCACGTATATGTAGATACATCTTTTTTGATATTGATATTGATATTGTATACGTATGTGTCTGTGTGTATGCGAGTGAGTGAGTGAGTGAGTGAGTGAGTGAGTGAGTGAGTGAGTGAGTTAGTGAGTGAGTGAGTGAGTGAATGAGTGAGTGAGTGAGTCAGTGAGTGAGTGAGTCCGTGTGTGTGTGTGTGAAGACGTTTTCACCCATAACACTTCTGATCTCAGGTTGCGTCAGTGAGCTTTACATGACAAGAACAAATTTCAGTATATATGTCTGCTTCCTACATACACACATATATACATATATACATATATATATATATACATTCTCCCCTATGTGTATGGATGTATGTACCTATGTATAGATATTATATATATATGTAAATATATATATATGTGTACATGCCACATGGATATGTAGACAGCTAGCCTGCTCCAGCTGCCGCGCAGCCGTGCGAGGAAAGGGTCGCACTGCCGGCCCTGCCGATCCATCTTCAGATGCAGTTTGCAGCACGCGATCAAGAGGTTGAAAGACGTGCACTTACAATAGGTTTCACTTGGGGGCCAGGTGGCAACTTTTCTTCAAGTAAGCGGGGTCCGAAATGCCACAGTTCGGTGCCTTCTTATTACCTGGCTGCGAATTGTCTGGTTCGAGACCTCAAGACAACACGACTGGACTCCTCTAGCTCCAGCCGCCAGGGCAGCTTTGCGATATCCTCAGCCGCGCAGACTCGACATGGAGAAAGTCGGCGCTATCACGAAGGCACAGACATGAATGATTCGATGACGTGGATTGCACATTTGCCACCGCCCGATCAAGGCCATGCGACGTTCCACCGCGACGTTGCTGCAGACGGCTCGGCGCTGGGTCTCTGCCAGGAGCTGCAGAAGGGACCTCAAACGAGTGACGAAGAGCCTTCTGCCAGCACTGAAGCTCAGAACAACACCGTCTTGCACTCTCAGCAAGAACAAAAAAATCAATGAAGCCACTCACGCTGTGCTTGGTAATAGCCTGACGAGCCGATGACCGTCTTGGGCAACGAGCTCTCGCTAAGCACAACTGAGCATGTTCAAGCACCAGGCACCTTGAACAGGAAACAAGCTTGCAGACGTGTTGCCCGAGAACTTTGGCCACAGTATTATCGTGGGGCTTCCGTGCTTGCTTCACCTCAGCTACCCATCCAAACTCCATCCTCTAAATCCACAAGAGTCTTCCCAACCCTTAAGTGTCTCGAAAAGCGGAAAGCTCAAGCAGCTGAGCATCCGAAGTTGCCCTTGGTCGCTTTCCAGCTGCGACTCGCGGGGGCTGCGTCTTTTCTCCGAGCCTCCCGGCTTCGAGAGATCAGGGAACGCACGGAGGCCGGAGGACGTCAAACAGAATCCTCTGACAGTCTTCGAAAACCCTCCCAGAACTCTCCAGTGTCTTAAGTGTAAGCTGATGGAAGTGAACCTCAACATCTGCTTTGAATCTATATGCGCAATTACATGTCAGAGGCCGCTCCGCTAAAAGCAGCCAGGTATCTGCCGCAGGCTCTTCGCCATGACTGCCGGGAGTCGCACGCCTTCCCTAGAATCCTTGGAGCTCAGACGTGGGACGACTCAGGTGCAGCCGGGAGCACTGGACTTGCTGTTGCTGCGGCATTGAGCGCAAACGAGCATCTTCCTCCGCCTTCTCACGGAGCACAGTCTCATGACGGCCGCGAAGCTCCAGCATCTCTTGCTGCCACGCGTGCCGTGTGTCGTCCTCGCTGTAGTTCTACTGCAGGCATATCGAAAGCAAGAAAAACTGCACCCCGATGCTCTATGGTGTTATAGCCCTGGCAGAAGCGAGCGGTCGCGCAAGGCATGGTCCTAACCACAAGAAAGCATCAAGCACAGGAAAGCTTCGATTCTTTGTTTCAACTCTGTGCCGCCAATACGTGACTAGACTGTCGTTACTCTGCAGCAGGTTCGGGATATGCTCGAAATGCGCATGGGGTCCTTCACAACCTGGGGAAGCAACCGGTGTACGAAACATGCCGAACCTATCATGTTGTTTTTGCTGGTGCCACAAACGTGATGACGATGACAGTGAACCCATGAGCTTCATGATTAGACTTGTCATGAGCAACCACTGCAATGATGACAAGGAAGAGGAGGAGGAGGGAGGTGGGAACGAGGCAGGACCAGGACGATAATGATGCTAATGACCACCAGCATCATCATCCTCATCTTCTTCTTCTGCATCATAATGATCATCATAATCGTCATCGTCACCGTCATCGTCATCATCGTTTTCATCATGCTAACGAAGACCGACAGCATCTTGACATGATCTCAAGGCCCCGAAGTCTGTTTGCGCTTCTACACTTGTCAGGTGTGCGACTCTGCACCCCAAGCCTTCCCGGAAAACTGTTTCTTCAGCGAGGCCACCTCCTGCTGCGGATGCTACCATCCGTCTGCAAGCTGTCTGTCGAATGTGCGACACTGAGACGTGCTCCCTCTCGCCGTGTCACAATAGAGACTTTCGTCTGAAGCCCTACAAGTCAGCTCATGCAAACCTCGCGAAGTTGCGCGGTGCGATGCTCCACAGCAACCATATCCAGCTTTTGCCTGACCTGGATCAGGTGGAATAATGGATATAATAATGATATAATAGCTTGCGATCACAGACCTCTGCTAGTCTCCTGCATGTGCCGTGGTTTCTCCGCAAAGCGGCACGATTCATAGTAATTCATGGGAGTACTGACATGCTGAAGCAGAATGCGACATCTTAGAATATGCAAAGCCACGGCCGGTGCCCTGCGAGGAGGGAACGGCGCCAGCAGGCTAGCCTGGACATGACACCAGAATGAGCCCTGGAAGACACTGCACATCGGCCTAAGGATATTCTTATGACCCCATACTCTGAATCAAGCGAACGCTGTGTCTGCAGTAGATAGGATTGACCATGACGATGCACAGACTTGCAGTCTGAGCCCTTGAATTGGATGCGTAGCAACGGAGATGCGCAGGTCGAGAACAGCTGGCCTTTGTAGCGGCTCTGCTCGCCTCGTCTCCCGCTGCAGTCAAGAAATCGAGGCGGGCCTTGCGCTGACCCCAGGTTCGCTCTATGAATCCGTGAATGGGACTCTTTGCAGAGTCCCCTCCTGCCTGCTGCATGGCCTGCTTGGCCCGAAGAGTTTCCTGCAAGCTTAGACATCTTAGACTCCTCGATACTTCCGGTATTAGACTGTTCCACTCAAAAAACAAGCAGCACAATCTCAACCAACTACTTTCTGAATACGCATTTCGGCAGAGTCTCTCGGCGGCCACAGAGCTCTCCAAGGAGGCGCCGAGCGTCGGAGGCCTGACGATAGTCCGACAGTGCTACACACGGGGTTTCGGACAGTAAAGGGTCTCAAAAGGGGAACCCCAAAAACACAGACCCTAAAGGACCAATTCTGCTACTAAGATGGCACTTGACTCACTTGACCCAGTGCCAAGGCCGCCTCGGCGACCAGGCAGCGCGCCACGGACAACTCCTCGCGGACCTCGGCGCGTTCCTCCGGGCGACAGTCGTCTGGCCCAAGTTGACAAAGCTGGCCGAAGTACGGGACTCGCTGCGTGCATCGAGGTTTGTGCAAGAGGAGCAACTCAGAATCCACGAGTCCTCCAGAGCCTCCTCCTGCAGCACAGTCTTCGACCGATGCTCTTTGCCTGGATGCCAGCATGAAAGCGTTGTGTTCCTGCGCATGACTTTAAGCTCCTTCCTTCATCACTATCTCTCTTTCGTGTTTTCCTGTTAGGTGCTGGCTGTGCTCTTGATGCCTCCTACTCAGTCTACTCTACACCTGCAACCTCGCTGTAGCTTCGCACATGTCTTTGTGCTGTTCGTTTTGCATGCTCTCTAATTTCAAAGGTTGTCCATTTCTATTTGTGCTGCTCTCGTTTCGTTGTCCAGGATGCACTGTCCGTTGTCGTTTTCTCTGTTATATGTTCTGTTAAACAGTTCTGTTCTATTTGATTGCTCTTTGTTGCCGATAAAGTGTTGTCGATGGTCTCATCTCTGACTTTCCGTCAACTGTCTCCTCGGTCTGCGTGCTTTCCGTCGCTCCCACGATTCCTCTTTGTCTGCTCCGGCTAATCCCCACGTATCCCTGATTGTCCTCACTTTCGTCGTGCATTGCTCCCTTTTAAATTGTAGACTGTCTGGGCCTCGCAATGCACACGACAAACAGACAAAAGAATATAGTTTATCGCTTCAAGAAGCTACTGGTATCTTGGTGCACTCAAGCAGCAGTAGCCTGAGATGCAAAAAAATAGACTGCAGCCAGAGCACCACGAGCCGAAGCAGCCGACTCTTGTTCCTGAGTCTCGCATCCAACTCGAAACGTCTTGCGCGCCTCAAACACGAATCGCTGCCCAACCCAACCCACGCTCAGAGAGCTGAGCACAGCTCGGAAACCGAAGCTTGCAAGGATGTCCGAAAGTCGCTGGCCTCCTCCTTGCAGGATGCAAGAGTCTTCTTCCAAGCCTAGGGCAGCACGGCACAACGCCACGGACTTCCAACTTCCCTTACCTTCCCAGAGACTTTTCGAGTGTCCTCAAGAAGAGAGAGGTCGCGCAGGGTGCTCTCGTCCTCGGACAACACTGAATCCGCGGCGGGGAGCGCAAAAAAGAACAGCAACATCTCTCTGGCCGAAATGCTGCAGAACGCCACCGTGCAAGGTCCGCGTGGCGGGTGGCCTCGAGGATGCGAAGGCGCTCCTGCAAGGTTCAGAAGGGGGAGTGGATGCGAGTTGTAGCAGTACCAGTACCACGTTAGTTGACCAGCATGCAGATGGCTTTATGTGTACGTGCTCTCCTCCAGCTCATTTCGTCGAGTTTGGAGTTCAACGACTGTCGCCTCATCCGGAGTCGCATTGCCCTTCTCCTCCCTCCGAGTCAGCTCCGATTTGATCGCGGTCATCTTCAAGTCGTGCTGCTTCACCGCCTCGATGATGTCCTCCAGGGCCTCAAGGGCCCCGGCACGGGGGGGCCTCGAACCCTCGCCACGGCCAGGCTCGTCGAGTCCGAGCGCCGGTCTCGGCCCTCGGCGCCCGGGAGCGCCGCTCGAGGGCATGGCCTCCGTCAGCTCGCTGAGCGGCGGCGCGGAAGCCGCCGCCTCGGCCGCCTCGGCCGCCTCCGCCTCCAGCTCGGCATGCGCCAAGTCCGCTTGACAACGGTGCAGCGTCTCCCGCAGCTTGGCAATCTCGGTCTCATCTGAAGCTGCACCTGAGCTGCATTGCATCCCAAAACACCGAGCTGGCAAGGTGCCCTCACAACCAGACAGTTCGCAGGATGTCGAAGGAACAAAAGCACCACAACAGAACTCTTCATCCGAAGTCTGCACACCCAAGCAATACAGCCGCAGATGCCAAGGCACGAGAGTTTGCTGCCTCACTCTCGGCACGGCACTCCGCCAGTGCCACCTCCGTCGCCTTTTCCGCACGCCAATGCCACATTCCAAGGAAGCTTCGGTACTTCGGTAGACTGTCAGGGATGTCCTGCCTCCGCCTTGGCTTGTGCTGCGCTCCGCTGCCGCCGCAGAGCTCGCGCTTCCTCAGCAAGGGCCTCCCGGGCTTCGAGATTTACAAAAACTCTTGCTCTCTGGGGATCTTCCCTCCATGCCGCACTGCAGAGACACCGACTGGAACTGCTGGGCCAAAGAAGTCTTCGACCAGAAGGTCTATAGAAGAGCTCTGAAGAAAGACGGGCTACGGGAAGGGAGGACTGGCCTCCGAGCGCTTCTCGGCATCCCAGGCTTTGGCAACCAGCTCCGTCGCCTCTTAGCGAGGATGCTGTGCTGCTTCTGCTTCTGCAAGCTCTTACAAGGAATGCTCAGGAGCCAAGCGGTTGTCATCACCACTTCCACTCAATCCCCTTTCAAACGCGAAACCGTAGATGTGTCTTGCACCCCCTGCGTTGGGAATTAGATGAGGCTCAGGTGTGGGCTTGCCAGGACTCAGGGCTGTGACGACTTCTTATTGTGGAAGTTCTTGTTGTTCTGTTACGGGGGTCGGGGGGTGGGCGACAGCTATAAACCTCATACTTGCGTGCTTAGAAGTGTTGACATCTCAAAGTCTCAACTCTCAAGCCGGAACCTTCAACAGCAACCTTGATCACAGAACACCCGAAGCTCTCAAGCTTGGAGCCTGTACTTGCAAGACTAACCTTCGACATTCATACCCCTGAGAGCTTGTCCTTAAGGCCTTAAGGCCTGAAGAGCCTTCAACTCTGAACATTCGGGCTTGCGCATTATGTTTCAACAAGGACCTTTGGGGTCTATCAAACTAGATAACGAACTTAAATGGGTATGGGTGAATTGTATGACAATTGAAGCTGGATCTTCTGGGACCTTGCAAGACCTAAAGTCCCGTCCCATATGGAGCTGGTGCTGCATGAATGCTTCAAGTTGAAGACACAACATCGCTTGCCAAGGATGTTGCACATGCCTTTCACGATATCAGTCATACAGGGATTGTGCATGTCTCATGAACTCAGAAAATACTGTTCCTCAGTACAAGTGCAATGTTCCACATTTATGCGCTACAAACGAATGTACCTCAGAACCGGCCACACA